TTTCACAAATTAATTTAGTAAGCATAAAATGCATGCAGAAAGAATAATGTATCACTACACCAGTTATATCTCTCAACTTCAGAAATAAAACAGTTACACATGATGCTCCCGGTATGCTTTCTCCAGTCTTCCTCTCCCTCCTCTCTCAGAGGTAATCACTAATTGAGTGGCGTTGCTGATGCCATCTCCAATTTCACTAGACACTATCAAATTGTTCTCCGCTGAGATTGTACCAATTTATACACTCACCAGCTGAGTATCCATTTTTTTAACTGTATGATTTTCTAAGATCATTTAAAATCAACACAAATTTTCTGAAACATCATTTAGAAACCTCTCAGCAATGGTAATTTCTTTTGACAGTAAAGGATTAAACTTATACAAGATTTTTTTTTCTTTTTTATGACTTGGTTGAGTTATAAAGTATATTTCTATGTTTATTCTGAGCAGACTCTTCTTTTTTCTCACTTCATAGAGCAACAGTTTCATAATAGTTCACTCTTTATGCCAGCTAGACTTGGGCTGCCTATTGATCATATTTATTTGATATAAATCTGATGGACTTTTCCCATCATAACACCTAATACCAGGTGGACACCTGGAAAATGCTCAAAAATATCCATTGATGGTTTGTTTTTGATTTATGTTTACATAGTAAATGAAAAATGTACTTTCAAGAGACTAAAATATGCAAAATTCATTTTCAAAAAGAAATCTGACATTTCTTTTACTAGAATTCAACTAGGTTACTTTTATCATTAGCAAATTATATCCTCTATTATTAATAGCTCTGAGTTGCCCAGAGGGGAAGGAATATCAACCCTGTGTGCGACCCTGTGAAGCAAGAACATGCCTGAACAAATGGTTCTATGGACACTCTTTATGTTTGAATTTAAGGGAAGACTGTGTGTGCAAAGATGGAACTATTCTTCACAGGCCATATTCAACCCAGTGCATTCCAGAGAAAGAATGCGGTAAGAAGCAAAGTACAAAGTGACTTCTTAGGGATTCAGCCAACAAAACAATAAAAACTTTTTTAGATATTAGAGAAATGTGCTTAAAAAGATTGATCGAAGGTAGCCTAGGGGCTGGAAAGGAAATGAGTTTGTTTGTACTTTTATTTTAATATGATTTCAATTGAAGTTAACAAAATTAAGAGCTTCAGTGGTAATGTGTTTTAATTGTTACCTATGCCTATAAGAAGTCGGAAAGAGCATGGCAAATTAAAAATTAGGAATGTAGATTGTGAACTGAATTCAAATTCCAGTTATTTTATGTATTAGTGATTCACCTTTACCTCTACGAGTCTGAGGTTATGCATCTTTAGAATGAGGAAAATAATACTACTTATCCCATAAAGTTAATGTGGAGTACATAACAAAATGAAAAGCATTTTGCATTTGACACAGTGCCTTGAGAAATGGCAGATAGCATTATTGTCTGGGTGCTATGATTTGCATGTGGTTTGTTCCCACCAAAACTCATGTTGAGGATTGATCCTCAACGTGGCAATGTTGGGAGATGGGGCCTTGTGGGAAGTATTTTGATCATGGGGGCGCTCCCTTTATATATTGATGAATGCCTTCTCATGGTAGTGAGTGAGTTCTGGCTCTCATGAGACTGGATTAGTTCTCATAGAAATGGATTAGTTCCCACATGTGTGAGTTTTAAATAAAGGGAGGTTCATCCTCATGTTTGGTCCCTTTTGTACATGTCCACTTCCCCTTTGACCTGCCATATTATGACACAGTAGGAAGCCCTCACCAGAAGTTGAGCAGATGCTGGCACCAGGCTTCTTGGACATCCTAGCCTGCAGAATTGTGAGCTAAATAAACCTCTTTTCTTTATAATTTACCCACTCTCCGGTATTCTCTTATAGTAACACAAATGGACTAAGACACTAGGGGGAAACATTTAATATTTCTAATTTCATTCTCAAACCATTTTATTTTGATGCATTGTCTTAATGGTGGTGGCGGATGCAAAAAGTGAAAATTTGAGAAAATTGCAGCGCAGTATTCTGTGAGTTATAGGGCTCTTCATTACAGTCAGAAGAAAAGAGAATTAGCTAAAACTAAAGAAAAAGGCAAGTAGAAGTGAAATGCATAAATAGTTTCAGAAA